AAAAAAAAAAAAAAAAGAGCTTTTTTTTTTTTTTCCCTTTTAACAAGGCCACACTCTAGCTTAGGCTGGCCTCACACTACTGAATTTCTCCTGAGTGCTGGTATTACAAGTGTTCCCCGCCAGGGCCGGCCTGAATGGGATGTGATTGGTCTCTCCCCTGACCTGTGTGTGTGTGTGTGTGTGTGTGTGTGTGTGTGTGTGTGTGTGTGTGTGTGTATGAAAGCTGGAAAGGGGGTTCAGATGAAGGCGCACATTAGTTGCTATTCTTGATGCTGTGACACAGCACTTGAAAAGAAAATGCAACTTAAGGAAAAGCAGAAGGCTCGTGGTTTGCAGATTCGCTCTGCCACAGTAGCAAGTTGTGGTGACAGGTGCCGAGGCTACGGGCCCCATTGCAGTCCCAATAAGGAGTCAGAAACATTAATTCTAGTGCTTAGATCTCCCTGCCTTTTTTTTATTCAGTCTGGAAGCCCAGCCCATGGGTTGGTACTGTTCACATTGAGGGCGACTCTTCCCCCTTGACTGAACATCTCTGGAAAGACCTTCACAGACCTGCAGAGTCTCCCAGACAATTCCAAATCCAGCCAAGTTGACAAGGTCAGCCATTATAAGGTGATGATGAGCCAAACTTCTAATTAACTAACTAACTAATTATTAATTTAGAGTGTGGGTATATTGGGGTAGATGGGTGCACATTCCATGGTATGAATGTGTAGACAGTAAGACAACTTTCAGTGGCTGATTCTTGCCTTCCACTTTGAAGCAGGGTCTCTCCTGTTCTTTCTACTGCTAGGCTCCAGGCTAGCTGGCCCAGGAGCTTCTGGATGATTCTTCTATTGCCATCTTCCATCTCTCCATGGAAGCTCTGAGATCACAGAGTCAGACACTGCCTCTGACTTTTTATGTGAATTGTACCCATAATTCTCAGTTCATCAGGCTTCCATACCAAACACTTTTGCCTGCTAAGCTGTCTTGATGGCTGAGACTAGACTGTGAGCTCCTACAGTGTGGTACCTGCATGTTCATGCTTCTCCCTCACTCCCTGCCCTTTGCTCCTTGAGGAGGAGTTGGAAGATGGGGTGGGCTCGACTCTAGCCTCTCTGCACTCTCTTCCATGCCTATGCCCTAGGGCTATGTGGCAAGAATGGCAGAATATTCTAGAAAATGGTTCCATACGATCACAAAATTTGCTGCACTTGCCAGTTTCACATTACTGCAGTGAAATACTCAAGGCAGCTAACTTCATATGAGAAACGGGTTATTTAGCACACAGCATTAGATGCTGAACATGGGGTGGCGGCTTTTTGGCTATGTCACCTCAAGGTGAGTATTGTGATGAAGCTGCCATGCAGGAGCAACAAGTGACATATCTCAAACCAGAAGCAGGAAAAGGGAGAGAAACCACAGTCCCACAATTCCCTCTGTGGATAATAATCTCCCATGAGATGAGAACCTTCTACCAGGACCTCCACAAAGCTTCACCACCTCCTAGCAGTTTCCTGAGAACCACAGTTTTCCACCAAGTCACAAAAACCCACGCAGGTTGAGGGGCCTAGGTGTGCTACCTCCGGCCACTCTCTCCTCACTCTGGTCTCCTGCTAGCTCACCCCAGCAGTCGTTCCTTTTCCAGGTTTTCCCCAGACTCACATCATGCAAGTTTTCCCCCCTGTGGCTACTTCACTAGAGAAAGCAACAATCAAGCAGAGCACAAAAGGGGCTAACACAAAGAAGGAAAGCAGTGTCCCGGGTACACTGACTTATCCATACTAAGGCCACTAAGCCTCAACAGTAGGATAAAGGTAGATCTATAACAAGACAAAATGGAGCGTCGGTCCTACCTGCTCTTCCATCTGTTCTATTTGATATGGGTCAAATACTGTTTTACAGTCATAAAAAAAGGAAAAAATCAGAGCCCCTGCCCTCATGCTTTTACAGTGTGGGACCTTACACTCCCAGGGAGTGAACACCCATTGATCTAATAGGATTTTGGTTTCTGGTGCTGTGTAACAAATTATCCCCTAACCTACAAGCTTCAAGCAACCATTTGGTTACACTCATGACTGTGCACCTTAGGAAGTTAGACAAGGCACAGAGTTCAGCGTATTTGGGTCTCAAGAGGAACATTCAATGGCTGTGGTGGTTCAGCGTCTGGAGGTGGATTTTCTGAAGCTGTTTTATATGCTAGAGTAGAAAGTTCTTTAGCCTCCCTGAAAGTGTGTCTGTGCTGTGGCTGGGAACACTAACACGGGGCCCCCTACAGATTGAAGGCTAAGAAATAATTGCACTTTACACAAGATGGCTGCCTTCCCTGGGAGTCATCATTTCAAAGAAATAGACCAAAGATGCTTTGCTTTTCCTGACCTGGTCTTGAAAATCAGAACCATTGCTTCTCTGTAATTCTTCTGGTTACTAAGTGCAGAAAGGAAGAGTATGAGTCTCCCAACCCCTGCCACCAACTCTGGTTTCTGGGAGGACAAATTAAATAGGACTATTGTGGAATATTATTATAACTATGTAAAGATATGTTACATTTGTTTATGCTGTAAAATACTTCTTTAAGTGTGTAAAAATGTGTTATATTTGATTATGCTGCATTTGTTTAATGATGTAAGGATGAGCATTTAATTATGGGGGAAAATATGTTTGCATTTGTTTCTCCATGTTTGCCTAAGGCACCTCATTGGTCTAATAAAGAGCTGAATGGCCAATAGCTAGGCAGAGAAAGGACAGGTGGGGCTTGTAAACAGAGAGAATAAATAGGAGGAGAAATCTAGGCTGGAGAGGAAGAAAGAGAGAAGGGGGGAGAGAAAACAAGGGACACAGCTGGGGCAAGAAGCAGCCACCAGCCAACCAGACATGAGAAGCAATGAAAGTAAGATATACAGAAGGAAGAAAGGTAAAAAAAATTCCTGAGGCAAAAGGTAGATAAAGAGAAACAGGATAATTTAAATTAAAAGAGCTAGCTAGAAAGGAAGCTAAGCTGTGCCAAGCATTCGAAACTAATAAGTCTCTATGTCGTGATTTGGGAGTTGGTCAGTGGCCTCAAAGAAAAAGCCTGGTAGGTAAGACCATGAGGGGTGGGAGGTTATAGTTGTGGGCATCTTCAGAAAATATGATCTGCCAAAATGGCAGCAGAATTGTGAGTGAAGTCAAGTGGAGGGGGATTTGATCCCCAGTTCCACTGTCCATCAGGAAGTCTTCAAAGAAAGTGCCCACAAAGCTGAGGCCCCATGGAAGTTACCCAAACACAGACTGTGTGTGAAATGGCATTTCAAACAAATGGAACATGGCAAAGACCCAGAGTCTGCTGGGAGCCAGGCCATATATAGTACCGAAATGATTTCCATGTGGCTGCCTTGCAGGGTGTAGGCATGGAACCTAGGGAGGAAGTGTGTCATGAAGTCGGTGGGAGAGACGGTATAGCATGGTGGTGAATTCCTGTAATTTTGTATGGCTTTAGTATCCTTTTTGAACATGAGCCGGACTCCCTGTTAGGCCCAGGACTTGGTCAGCACTAATAGATTTTACTTTTCTCTTCTGGGTCCCTCAGATTGGTCAGTCAGGTATGTCTCAGCTTTGAACAGCTGTATCCTGGTGACCATCTCTCTAAGGGGCAATGACTGGCCACTGGCCATGGCTTAGATGTGGTGAGTTACCCCCACTCAGTCGCAGTGTGGCCACCCGACACTTTTGACAAGTTTTGGAAGCCCACCAATTAGAAATTGTGGCAGAGAATAGAGGTTTTCTTGATGAGTGAAACTGGCCAGACACAGGGATAAAAGTACTGCATGTTTCCTCTTACATGTGGAGGTTGATTTTTTAAAATGATGACTTGAAAGGCGAGGATCGACTTTAGGGAAAGGAAAGGAAAGGAAAGGAAAGGAAAGGAAAGGAAAGGAAAGGAAAGGAAAGGAAAGGAAAGGAAAGGAAAGGAAAGGAAAGGAAAGGAAAGGAGAGTAGTTGAGCAAGAAAGGAGGGCGGGAGAGGGAGGGAGCACGTATGCACGCACTCAAAACAAGATACACATCTAAATTCAAATAAATCAGTAAGGCTCACTCATTCATATAACTAATGGCTGAGTAACAACCCTTAAGAACAACCCTTAAGAAGCCCTTTTGGTAACACTGAATCCCAGCAAAGGCTTCTGCCCACAGCTTCCCCTCCTTTTGCTTTTTGCTTTTGCTGCGTTGTTCTCTATCCACTGGTTGAGTGTGAGCGCACTAGCCACCTCCTCTTCCTGACTGTCCCTGGGAAGCCATGACCCGTGCTGCCCTCTGCTCTCTGGGACCTGTAAGAAATAAGCTGCAGCTGGATGCCATGTGTTTTCTTGTGCATCTTCCGCTGCACTCCTTTTGACCAACACAAATGCACCTCGCTTCTTTTCCAGCCAACACTTACCTAGAGAAAGTTGTCTCCATAGAAATAAGCGGGGTGGGGACGGTCAGAGAAGAACCATAAGGCAGTCAGCAAATATATTTTCTGTTGATCTCATTGTTGGGCCAAAATACCCAATAAAGGGCAACTTAAGGAAGGAAGAATTTCCCTTAGCTCTCATTTTGAGGGTTCTGTCTTCCACCATAGCAGAGGCAGGGTGAGCGCAAGAGCAGGTCTAACTGGGGCCACAAGGGGTGAGGCAGCTAATCACAGATGTCAGCTGTCGGGAAACAGAGAGCTGGTACTCAACTGGCTTATGCCTTCCCACCCCACCCCCTTTTCTTATTCAGTCTAGGATCCCAGTTCACAAGAGGGTACCACCCACATTCAGGATGGGCCCACCCTCATCAGTTAAACCTCTCTGGAAATGCTCTCAGAGACAAACCC